GCTGAGGGGAGCAAGGATGATGGGGGCATCGGGCGGGGTGAGGATGGGTGTTGTGTCCGATGTGGTGTCTTCAGCCTCGCTCTCCACGTCCTCCAAGCTCTCGCTGACAGAAGGGATGATCTGCACCATCTTCTCCTGGAAGTGCACTTGCTTGCGTGGGGCTGGCGGGGCTGCTGTTTGGGCAGGAGCTACTGGGGCCGGGCTCCTGTCCTTGCTGCCCTTCAGGATGCTCTTCATGTGGCCCAGCAGCGAGTGGTGCTGCTCCCTCTGGGCCCCGTGGAAGGTGTAGGTCTGCTCAGTGTCACCAGCGATGGTTGGGGCTGCCACGGTGCCTGAAGGGTCCACGTATTGTCCCGCCTGGGTATGCATCTCTTTGTGCCCTGGGCTCTTCCTGAAGTAGGCCAGGGCGGTGAGCACCAGCATGGACCCTGGGGAGAAGGCCATGTTGGCTGAGGGCTCGGGCAAGGTGAATATCTTGCCAAGCAGTGCTTGGTCTAGCTAGCTCAGCACCATCTGCAACTGGTCCAGCACCCCACACATCCCCACCCTCTCTGGCCCTCGACAAACCATGCTCCTCTTCCATCTGCACTACTCCCCACCCCAGCATGGGCTCCTCACCAGGGATGGTGACGTGCCAGACGAGGACAGGATGCAGGAAGCAAGCCACTGAGAGCAGCGTGTACCCCAGGAATTTCTGGAAGCTCCCTGGGCGTCTAGCTCGCTTGCAGCAGGCCTGTGCCAGGGAGTCAGGCTTGTATCTGGAGAGAGAAACAGAGATCCTTGTGGGATGGGGCACCAAGGACATGGCAAGATTTGGACCTAACCATCACCCATCTAGATGTGCAGATCCTCATTCTGGTTTTCCAGGAAACCGGTGTGTTGGTCAGGGAAGGTAAGCAAAGCCTGAGTCTCTCCCACGGGGAGAAGAGGCCAGGGACTACATCTGCCAGAGGTCAGCATCTCAGGCCATCTCTCCTTGGTGTTTGCCCACTTGGCCACTAGTTGAGTGCCTATTAGCTGGAGTAAGGTGTTGCCTCTAAGCTATCAGGGCTCTTGAGTTTATGCTAAAAGACAGCAGAAGTGCTCAGCCTCTGAGAAGCACATAAGGATTTTCTACATTTTAACTTAAACTTCCGCACTGTCGCTGGGAGGGAGCTGCAGCTCACCCTGGGGATCTAGCTCTTCCCTCAACCCTGGTCCCTTGTAGGGCTTCATCCTGTGTTAAGCAGATGCTGCAGACCAGGGTTTGTTATGCTGATGCTCAGCAAATTATGGCACAAGCTTGAGTTAAAACACAGGTTTAATTGTCTGTGGACATGGTCCCACTTACCTCCCCCCTGCCTGAGTGCACTTGCCGTGGCATTAGGGGCAGGACCTTTGGTCTGGCACTTGCAGCTCAGCTAGGTCTGGTGTTGCCTGTAAGGGGCAAGTTGCCTTACGGTGGTCCCACCAAGGCTGGAGAAGACTGGACAGGGTCTACTCACGTGAAGCACATCTCCAGGAACAAACTGATAAAGAAGAAGCCTTCACAGACAGTAACTGCAACCCCTGAAAAACTGAAAGTTGGAGCTGTCAGGCTGGCCTGGGCTTGAGTATGCTCTCCAGGTGGCAGAAGGGGCATAGAGGGCCAGGATTTACTATCCAGTTCACAACAGAGTCTGTGTGCTGGGGTCTGAACACCCTCTCCTCAGCTGGTTTGTGGAGGACAGCTCAAAGCCCTTCTGTCCCCGGGGGGTCAACTTGCAGCCAGTGTCACCTCTGGCCTGCCTGAGTCTGCAGTAGCATGGGTGATGCAGTAGCATCACTTTCTCTAACAGAAATAGCTTACTTTTCTGAAACCTAAATATGGAGATCTGAATTCCCCAAAGCCTTGGACAGTGATCCCTGCTGCTGTTGCAGTCTAGTCTGGTGCTACATATGGTGGAGGGGTGGAACCTGCCCCCCCCGCCAGCTCTGACTTCAAGGGCAAAAATACTCACAGCAGATAGAAAGCCAGGCTTTTGAACTGTCCTCGCTGCAGAGTTTCTACGCCCACACCGATCAGCACTAGAAAGAGAAAGTAGGAAAGATGCTGACTGCAGGGTTGGTTCCTGACTCTCTGGTGCCCTACCAGCTGCCAGGATCGATGCCCCGGTTTCCCCAGGGACTGGCGAGGCTGCTCCTCCCGTGCTGTGCAGCACGTTAGGACTGCCAGCATCAGTGATTCATGCTGACACACCAACCCAGGGGGCTTAGAGCTGAATGCTGGCCTTGACATACGGCCCAGAAACCCATCCCAGCTGCATCCTTATCATGGCAGCCTTGCCACTGCATGGGCTGGGGAGAGGTGCTCTGGGGATACCAGCTGGCCTTGGACAGCTGGGGGAGGTGAGCAGCAGTGTCCTGGCTCCCTTCCACCCCCTGCCATGCCGCTCCATCACGGCTGCCACAGGGACTTCCCTCCCACTGCCCCATCCACCTCTGCCCCCTCCCAGTCTGGGGACCTCTCTGCCCAGGTCCCCCCAGTGCCTGCCAGCCTCACTCCCCTGCCCTCCCTGCTTCCCCAGGCCTGCTGCGCCCAACATGTGGCTGCAGGGCAGCAGCAGGACAGGGGAAGCATGCCAGCTGCCTTCACAAAGGGCTGTAGCCATGGCATCAAGATCCTTTGCTAGCCAAACAGAAAAACATATAACGGGAGCAGGCAGATTAAAAACAGGGAATGAACGTCCCTTCAGTGCCCTGGCCAGCACAGCACACTGGGGAGTCAGTTTAAGGGGGATTAAGAGTATTAGTGAGGTTAAAATCTTCCCTGGACTGGCTGTTGGGGGCCAATAGCTTCAGGGGATGGAAAATTTCCTTCAACACCCTTCAATTCCCCACAAGACTATTTCCAAAATGGAGCAGAAATGAAGTGTCTTGCACCAGGTGCAGCAAGTTGGTCGGTACGCGACCAGCCGGTCATGGTGTACAAGTGCCAGCGGCATGGAGCTGAGCGGAGCCCAGATCTCATGGCCAGGGCATTGCTCTAGGCAGTCACTGCACTCTTGTCCGCACTTGATGTCTCCACATCTCACTGAGCAGTCCCTGTCCATCCACTGGTGCTCAGGAAGTTCACCGCTGGTCCTGCTCAATGCATGCTGGCCAAGGCTTGAGGTGCTGGCTGGCTTCATTTATCTGAGCTGTGGTTTACCCCAGCTGGAGAAGGGTACCAGGCTCCCAAACAGGGATGCAGACCAGTGTCCATCAAGCCTGCGAGGTGGGTCAATGCCGAGGGTCTGTGCCTGAGCACACAGCTCTCCCGTCCTGGCCAAGCAAAGCCCTGCCAGGGTGCTGAGGTCTTGCTTTGGTTCCTCCTGTGTCACCTGCAGCTGCTGGCCCCTGTCAGCCAGGGGAACGCATGGGGCCCACGTGCCACCCTCCTCCACGGAGGCTGCCTCTCCAGCCCCGAGCAGGGGCATGGGGAAATCAGTCTCATCAGAGGGCTGTGAAGCTGTGTGAGCTGTGTAATCCTGCACGCAAAATATTGTCCTTTGCTATCTTGTGACTGAGAACCCTTCTTTATAACCTTCCTTACAAATATGGAGTTCATTCATTCATTCATTCATTCCCTGCGGATGAATGCAGAATTCAACAGCTTGGCTGTTAGGCTCGAGTCTCTGCTCTGGATGGGGAGGTTTCCTCATTTTGCACAGCTTCTGCTTTATCCACAAAGCTGTTTGGATGAAGAATCTGCAAGAAGCAAAGGGCTGTTTCCAAGGTGTTTGTTTGGACTAGTTGCTGCCTTGATTTGGATCTTATCCAAACTATGTGACTAAAGGCACATGGTTAGGAATTAAATGGTTGAAAGCATGAGAATTAAGACATAAGTAAGGACTCTCTCCTAGATGCAGAAATCACAAGGCCTAAAATCTCTGAACTACAGAGATGCCCCAAACACTGCGGTGAATCGTGGGGCTGTTTGATCGCTCCTCGCTAACTCGCCATGAGGCTCTGCCGACGGCAGGGCTGTCTGTTTTCTCACATGCAAGAAACCCTGTAGCCCCACCATTGCAGACAGCCATTACACTCCAAGATCCTGGGGGAAGGGGAGGTTTATATTATGTGGGTAATCTTCTGTGTTTGCAAGCAGCTTATAGAGCTGGCCAGGCCTTCTCAGAATCAATTACTGAGGCTGATGCACTCTCCTCTCCCTTTCATATTTTTTTTTCAAACAAAACCCGTGGGATTCTCTTTTGCATGGTTTCCATTTCATGCAAAAACCTCACACACCTCATCAGGCACTAAACACTGCATCAAGCTGTTTTCTTAGTCCATTGAGACACACAGAGGAATAAAACACAGGCACCTCCCATTCTTCACTGGCCTTTTGGGAAAGTCAGGTGATACTGGGAATGCATCAGAGCTGTGGAAAAGCACAGAGATTGGTAGTGCAGCTGTCTGTGCTCTGCGATGCTCAGCAGAGAGACAACTGCACTGCTTGTTTCAAGAACCACTACAGAAAGAGGTGCAGATGATGCAAAATGATGACAAGGAAACAAGCAGGAGAGAGAGAGATTATATTCCACTAAGACACTTCCAAATTGTAAGCTACTTTCAATTTTGCTGTTCTAGCTTTAGTTTTCCCATGGCAACAAGCTCTTGTGTTCTCCCAGGAAGGTCTCTATGAGTTTCCTTGGAGCTTTAAGAGAGAATATGACCAGCATGGGGCTCGTGTAGCCCGAGGGGGATGGGGATGGAGAAAGGAAGAGATCTGCATTTGCTGGTTAAAGCCCTGTCTCAGCTCCTATCTGTTGCAGTCTCATCATGATGTGCACTTATCTACTGGGAGTTTGTATAAACTCAGAGACTCAAATCCCTGCCCATTATCAGTCGTTTAACGCACATTCCAGAGCATAGCCTCCAGCGTCCCAGCTGGGCTTTGGGTGTCCTTGGGGACCTGTGCTCTCTTCAGCTGACCTGTGTGCTTTCTACTTTGTCCCTCACTTGGGCAAAGTGTCTCATGGCTGTCTGCAGTTCATAAAGGAAATGCGAAGGTAGGAGGGCCTGCTGCGACCTACTCTGCACCATCTGAATCTGCAGTTCCCGGGGGTCTGACACAGGAACCACAGGCACCACCTCAAGTCACCTCTCACCAGGAACCTCTGGTTCACACCGCCAGCCTTTACGCAAATCAGGCACTTTGATCTCTGCTTTACTGATGGAGAAACTGAGGCAGAGAGCTCTGTCTAGCCTGTCCTGTAAGAGTGAGTCAGCAGCAGTGCCAGAGTGAACCCCTGAGCCCTCTGCGTTAGCTGTTTCCCCACGTCCCATCCGGAGATGCCCCATGTGAGAAGGTTATTCAGTGCTTCGGGGTGAGACACTGTGCCTGAAACATCCGGCTCAAAACACCTGCATTTCACCTGAAACCAAGCGCTCGGATGTGTCACCAAATCCAGAGGACGCTGGTCCCAAGCAGCTCCTGGCAGCGGGTGAGAGGATGCAACTAGGCAGGTGGGTGAATTTATGATGTTTGTTACTGCAGCTATAACCTGAACTGCTTCCTGAGCCTGCTCCCTGACAGGTTGCTAGAGGCAGAGCAGCGCTTTGGCAGTAACTGTGCTGTGATGGCTGGGACCTCTCCATCCTGCCTGGCACAGGACATCTCACTGTGCACAGCACAACGAGCTCCTCCTTCATTTTCGCATCCCACAGAGCAGCCTGGCAGTTTTGCGCAGCCATGAGTATTCTGCTTTTCAGTCTCTTTCACATCTTGCCTGTGCCCATGTCTGTTTTACAAGAATATAATTTAGTTTCCATTTGTGCTTTAGCTTGTCCTCTGCCATACTGAGGCTCTTCCTTTCTGATGTCTCACTGTGCCTCCCACAGCATTTCGAACGAGCCTGGCCAGGAACCCAGCACTCTCCCTCCCTGGGTCCCAAAACAAAAGTGAGCAAGTTTCCTTGTCCCCCTCGTAGGATGGGGCAGTGGCTGCACCTGGCCAAAGGCAGGGAGACAGCTCAGGGGTCCCAACACCCACTCAGTGCCTTTTAGTGCCAAAGAAAAAGAGAGCTAGCTCTTACCTGCTGCGGTGGAGATGCCCAGCAATCGGCAGGTGTACTCCAGGGCACTCCAAAACGCCTTGTGCCGCATGGCGAAGAGATGAAGACAGCGGTGCCGGCCAGGCAGAAGCTCCTCTTCAGAGCTCCCGCCTCACGCGTAGCCCAGCAGCTCCCAGCCGCGGGCAGAGCCTCCCCTGCCCAGGACCAAGTGACCTTCCTGAAGGAAAGGGCAGTGCGTGCAGGACTGGCCACCTCCACCGGGGCCTCCCAGGGGAGGGTGGTCAGAGAGCGAGCTGCCACCACAGGGAACCGGTCAGCACTGCTTCCCACTGCTCCTGCGGGGGCTGCGGAGACTTGGCCTTTTCCTGATTGCTTGCCGCTTGCTCGTGTTGCTGGCCCGGCAGTGATTAATGATTGGTAAGGGGGGGGTGCGGCTTTGGGAGCATTTGCAACCCGGGGTGCACGGCCTTTCCTGCTCCCGAGGAGGAGGCTCTGGAAGCCCAAGCTGATTAAATGCATGTGAAGTCATTAGTGCTGTGCAGCTCCCGGCAGGTTAACCATTTGTGAGGATGGCGGTGTTTGCTCTTGGCGAGAGAGTGGCATGTTTCTGGCAAGTCGCGAGGCTCCCAGGGCACCCCAGCCCTGCTGCCTCCTGCAGCTGAGCCCCCCGCCATGGCTGCTGCTCACCGTGCAGGTTTTGCCAGGCTCTGACTAGTACAGTTCGGGCAGTGTCTGGGCTGATGTGCAACCACAGGAACAAGGAGATCAGACCTATTCCCAAGGGTCTTACAGACCCAGGCCGGCCATAGAAGGGGAGATGTGTATTTCTTTTCTTGGGAACCTCAGTGAAATGTATTTCTGTGCTGTAGTCACCAGAGTCATTTGATCGGCACTGGGGTCGCACAAGTGTCCTGACACGTGGAGTGGGGTGCATAGGTACTCTGACCTCTTTGTATGGGATTTGATAGACAGCTTGGGGGTCCTTGGCTTGTCTCTGCAGGACACACCACCTCTGGAGAGGGGCAGCCCTAGGCTTGTCTGAAGGCCAAGATGGGTCAGTGCTGGCCTGCTCTCGACCCCAGCCCCACATTCCTCTGTGCTTGAACATGGTGCATCTCACTGTGGGTCACCGCTTCGGTCCCCACCTGCTGCTGTCTGGGGAAGAGCTGGTGTCGGCACCAGCATCTGGTCATTGCAGTCCCGGCAGGAGGGGTGTGTGAGAAACAGCACAGTCCCAGCGGGCAGCACGGACGTCTGGTGCCTGCAGGGCCGCAGGTTCACAGGTCAGTGAGCTCACCTGTGCTGCGGCCGGTGCCGGACGAGTCACTGCAGCCCCTGCCCCTCGCTGCACTTGCTGTGAAGCCAGCAGCGGTGCGGTCAAGGGGCTGGGTGAACCACGCTCAGCTCACGCACAGGCAGCCCTGTGGGGAGGCGGCAACTGGCCGAGCCCGTCTCCTGTGATCCCTTCTCACCTGCCTGAGACCACAAAGCTGAACCTGGCCAGTATGTGCTGTACTGATGTGTCCCTGGGGTAGAGACAACTTGGTCCAAGGGCACAGCGACAGCTTTTCTTACACAGGATCTCGGTCTGTATTTCAGACTGGGATTTTCCCAGGACAGCCAAATGCCTGAGCTCATGAAATGAGTCCCTAATTCCTGTAAATAACTGCAGATAGTGTTTTTCTGAACACTTACAAGGTGGTGGGTGGTGGGGATTTTGCGGCAGGCAATGCTGACAAGGTTTGGGGGCAGAGCACATTTTCCATGTGAAAAATGGAAAAGTCGACTGGAGAAGGGCTTCCAGAGCATCCCGAGGGGCAGTGCTGAATGGTGCAGACCCAAAATGTGTCTTTGCCTTGCAGCACTGGCACTGCCTTTGGGTGTTCCCGTTTCCTCTTGTCCTCCCACACCACCACGGGTGTTTGAAGGAACTACGGGTTTTCCACAACTGATGACTCAGCGATGTGTCAAAACTTCCTTTTCGAGAGAGACACAAAGAGGGAAACAGAGGCACGCCAGCGGGGAAGGTCACACAAAGGCTGGGGAAGAGCCCAGCCAGGGCACCTCACCCCACTGCAGCTGGGCTCCACCTGGGTGATCCCTGTGCCCTCTCATGGCACATCGCTGCAGGCTCCAGGAGCACCCTCTGCTTCCAGAAATCACCAAACTGGCTTAAGAGCCTCGAGGTTGTGCAAACAGTCTGGATGCTTTTTTTTATTGCTGTCTTGTTTTTTTTTTAAGATGTATTGAATTTCAGCTGTTTCTTTACAAACATGAAAGCTAGAATACCACTTAAAAAGGAAATAGATGAAAGGAAGACATGAGTCTTTCAGAATCACTTAGAGCCACGCTCTTAGGCTTGAAGAAAAGCAGGAAACACCACAGTGCGATCCTGAGCACTGTCAGCACCCACCCTTCAGCAGCACCCAGCAACTCTCTGTGCAGCAAGCCGCTGCCTCCTCCTGTGGCAGGCATCCCCATCATTGCCGACATGGGCAGTGCAGCTGTTACTCTGGAGCTCTTACTAAACTGCACTGAGCTCTCACCCAGAAACTAAATGACTTTGTCTAAGTGTCCTTGACAGCAATGTTTCCTTTCTGGAGAGCAACAAGCCCCAGGGTTTAAAAGAAATGTAAATTTATGGGTGGTGGTGGTGATGGGGGAACAGAATCTATTTGGGAAAGGCAGATTAATATGTTAACAATTTAAACCTCCTGTCTCCCTCCCATGTTCCCTTAGCTGTTGCCTAGCCTCCATCCTCTGCGTGTCCTTGTCATCCTTCCTGAGGGTCCTCGTCCCCCGCCTGGGGAGACCCTTAGCCTGGGGTAACTTAAGGTCTTCTCCACTCGCTGTTCATCGGTGCACTAGTGCTTCTCTCACTCCATTGCCCATGAGGGGAGCATGGAGTGAGCAGGACAGGTATCCTCAGACTTGCTTTGTACCAACACTCCTTTAGCAGCTCCTTCCTTCCATTTAGGAATTTTTTGGCTAGTGGTCCTACAAAGCAACCTCACATGAACCTGATTTTTCTTGGTAGAGGTGTCCCTTCTTGTTCTGCCTCTGGTCAAGTGGGGAGATGATTCCCCCAATGAAACTGTGAGCCATTTGAGTGTGTTTTGGTGAGGTTTTTAGGAATGAGTTTATGCAGTTCGAAGAGGACTGAGAACTTATGACCTTAGAGGGGTTTAATAGCCTGTAACCAACATTGCAAAACCTATGCACCAGCACAGCCTGTTCTGAGACACGTAATAGCAGTGGTCCTGACTGCACATTAAGCCACTTTTCTTGCACAGAGGCTTGCCATTTGCACTTTGGCTGCCAGCCAGGATTCACATTTACAGGCTGCTTCCAGTGATATATGGGTTGATTTAAGAGGATTTTATTTCAGTGCTAGGGTTTCATCATGATGTTAGTCCTCATCCTCACCTTTCCCTCCTCATGCTTTACTCAAGTCATTTTGCTGTGGCACGGCCACCATGGCCATTCTTCTGTGACCAAGACCACAGTGCAGCATCTGTGCCGAGCGGCCGCCCTTGGAAGGCTGTGGAGGAGCAGCACGCACCTTGTGCCTTGCCTCTGCGAAATGGTGATGCTGCAAGAGAGCTGCAGTGAGTGGAGATTCCCATCACGGGGCATAGAGCACCACAAGCCATGCTCTGGCAGAAACCTATGGGAACATGCCTGACTTTTACTCAGCTATTCTCACTCCCTGCCCATCATGTAAAAACAGTTCCCAAACTGCCTTGCACAATGCTCTATAAATTTGTTTCTGCTATTTCCTCCCCTCCTTTCTCTAAAACCCTAAGCTATAACCATCACATCAAATAGCCTTGCTTGGCAGCCTCGGTCCCCTCTCTGAGCAGTAGCAGCAGAGGTGGGATCTCCTTCCACCAACATATCCATCTGAGACAGACTGACACCAACGCTCTCCCTTGGCCACCGAAGGACAGGCAGCCAGCAGGCAGCTGCCCAGAGCCTTTGCAGTGGTGCCATGTGCTGCCTCCCTGTGCCCTCCTTCCACCAGGTCACCCGTCATGGAGAGGAAATGGATTTTCATGACAGCCGGCTGATGGTGGATGGGCCCAGTTGATTGGAAGCACCAATGAATTGTAGCCATGGGTTCACTGGGTACAAACATCTCCTTGAAGTCAGCAGGAGTTTCACTCTGTCTTGTATCACCAGTGGTCCACAGCTTTCCAAACCAGTCTGAATGAACTGAGAGCATCCTGAGGTGAGCTTGGCAGACCTCCCTCCTCTTCTGGTGCAAGGAAAAAACATGGCACTAGGGTGCCTGAAGCCACATAAGCAGCAGAGCTGGAGAGAAAATCTTAAGTGTGCCCCCTCTTCCTTTGCTGTAACCACTAAATCATGCCCTCTGGAGTCCTCAAACCTGGGGCAGTGCTGCAAGCCGTGCTGGGGATGCCCGGCAGGGGACAGCAGGATCCCACCGCTGCACTGCCAGCCCAGCTGCTCCCTGCGAAAGGCAGGCTGTAGCCAGCCCTCTGCAAGGCGGTGATGAAAGGGCACCATAAAGTTTTACTGTCTGAACAAGAAGAGCATGATAGACACCACATGGATCTGAAGGGGGCTGGGAAAAGCACAGAGTTGCAGCGAACACAAATCAATAACTGGCCTGTTTTGCTTTATGCTCTGCGATCAAAGGGTGTCTGACATGCTGCCAAACACTCACCCGCTCCTCTGGGAATTTCGCACCCCGCCAGGGATGGGGTCAAGGCTCAGCAATACACTGCCCCGATTGTCCCCCATCAGGACAGCCAGCCCCAGAGGCCTTTGGCGGCACAGCCCCAGTGCCGCAGGCTGAGCCAGCAGAGAGGGTGAACTGGAGGGGCTGGTGAAGAGCCTTTGTGCTCACAGCCTCTCCTGGGGACCTTCTCACTGCTGGCACAGATGGAGAGGCACTGCATTTCTCCTGGGGCCAGGCCTGGCATTTGCACAGGCTGTGCCTTGTGCCTGGCAATGGCCAGGGCATGAGCTCTCATCCAGGCATCCAGCATTAATAAAGCTCATCACACTGTGGTGTGGGATGGCGTGGGGGTGCTGCCAGGGGAAGGGGACAGAGATTGGTGCCTC